GTGTAGGTTTTCCTTTAGCAGATTGCACTGCTTACTTCCACCCGCCCCCAATTTTTCACCAGGCCAAATCAAGCTCACTCAGCAAGGTCTGGTTCAAAAGTCACCTTCCTGGACCCTCTTCTTCTTGCACCCACTCTAGGCAGAATTCCTCCCATCCCTCAGAGGCCTCATGGCTCTCTGTACACAATTCGTTTATAGTTGCTTGTTTCACCATCAGCCCAGGAGTCTCCTGGGTAGGTCTGGTACTGGTGGGCTCTATGAAATAAGTGAGTTGATGACGCTGTTTCCAGACCTGTGCAACTTTGTGAAGGGCACTGACACAGATTTTACTCCAAAAGGAGCTAAACCTGGACAAAACTGTTTAAGTGGAGATAACTTGTTTTCCATGATTCTTTCCTTCTTTAAGTTTCCAGTGAATCTCACAAGTGTGGCTCCTTGGTCTTCTAAAATGTCCTCTATTCTGGTAAATTAATTCATATCCAGGTGCTAAAGATTTGGTTTAAATTCTTGCTGGTAATAGAAAAATATAAACATAAAGTAATGATCCTCCTTTTTCCTCTTTCTGTAACATGTCAGAATTATAATCTAAGGAATGTTGTCTTTCAATGTAGTCATCTTATAAGAGATGCTTTATTCCTCACAGAGACAAAGGAACTGCCTTTAAGGAGCACATAGACTTGTAGGGGAGATAGACATATAAATAATTACAATAAAGTGCTATAATAGGGGTACAAACAATGACAGAAGGATGGGGGCAGGTGATCTATTCTGCCTGGGGTTGTGAGGGACAAGTTTAGTCAGGCTTCCAAAGGAGGTGATGATGCAGCCTAGGATTTTGAGTTCTGAATAGATTTCCAGGAGGAAGGGATGGTCAAGTCAGAGAGAGCAGAACATAAACTTACATAGATGTATGAAACAGAATGGTATGTTTGAGAAACTAGAAATTGTTCACTATTGTTGGATGGTGGGTGGTGGTGGTAAAAAAGGAGCCCAGGGAGGTGTACAAGGCCGCTTCATTAAGGTTATAGACTAGGGCTTCTCAAACTATAGTAAAGGACCAATTTTTAAAAATTCCAATCTATTATTCACTACTTCTATAAAATTCACAAAAAGTGAGTTCTTAGAAAAATGAAATAAAATCCCCATTTTTATTAGCCTCAATAAATAAAAAATTTCTGTCAAATTGCTGTAGAAGTTTCTAAATGCCTACATTTAACTTCTAAAATTGTTTCTTTGCAGACTAGTAAAAAACTTTGCATAGCACAGCTGTAGTTGTTTCTTTACATCTGTGTTTTGGATCATACTGAGGACCCTGGACTTCATCACAGAAAATACTGTGGAACCGTAAAGACTTTGTAATATGGGAGTGAAAAGGTCAGATCTGCATTTAGGAGTAGTGTGGAGGAAGGGTTTTAGGTGCAAAAACAGCAGGGAGGCCAGCTTGAAGAAAACTCAAGTGTGAGAGATCACAAGGTGCTGGACTAAATTACTGGCATGAGATAGTAGAGGACAGATTTCAAAAGATTCAAATCAACAAGACCTGGTGATTGAGTGGCTAAGGGGTTGAGGAAAGAGAAGGGTTAGAATAGAGTGCTCCTTCTCAAAACTTTGGGAATTGTCCTCATCAAATAGTCACTGTTGACAGTCCTTTTCCTAAATTAAAAAAATTATGAAAACCAAGTTTTTCATAACTCATTTGATTACAAGACCTAATGTGACCTGAGCTTATTTTGTGGCAGACCTGACCTAAACTTACATGAGATAATTTATAGCTTTTGTTTATCACACGGGTTTATCCCAGTATGAATATTGATATATCTCACTGCAGAAATATATATTTGTTCAGTTACAGGGTACTGTCCCAGACCCCATTGAGATTGTTGCCTTATATTGTATATGCACCACATTACCTTTCTAAAGTCCAAAAAAATCCTGAAACACATTTGCTATCCAGATTTCCCACCCCATTTACTCATCAGTCTTGGCTGGAGTTCTTTTGGTTATTTGCATAAATCAGATCCACCTGCAGATAATGAATATTCATTGCAATGTATGCTATAGACTCTGAAAATGATTCTCAAAGTGTTTTTTAGTCCTCATTATTAAAACAATGCTAAAAAACATCTTGAGTGATTACTGTGAAGTGACAGAATTCATTTGGATGGTAAGGTGTGAAATGTTTATCGACAACCAGTCAGACTACTGTGCACCTCATTTTTACATTTTAGCAGTCAGTGGTCAGTGATCTTCTGAAATTAGTTCTCAAACTTGGAATTTAGTTCCCTGCTTCTCAAAACCAAAGTGTGAGCTCTGAATGATGAGAATTTGGGGACTGGTAGGAAATGAAGTGTGTGTGTGTGTGTGTATGTGTATATACAAATTATTTTTATTTCTTTAATCCTCACCCAAGGATATTTTTTTCCCATTGTTTTTCGGAGAGAGTGGAAGGGAGAGAGAGAGAAACATCAATGTGAGTGAGACACATCTATTGGTTGCCTCTCACATGCACCCCTACTGGGGCTGGGAACTGAGCCTGCAACCGAGGTATGTGCCACCATCGAACTTGGGACCCTTCAGTCCACAGGCTGATGGCTCTAACCACTGTGCCAAACCAGTTAGGGCCACACAAATTATTTTTAAAACAGTTTAAGGTTTACAAAAATTTGAGAAGATAGTACAGAGAGTTCCCATATACCCTACATCCAGTTTCCACTATTATTACCTTATATTAGTATGGGTACATTTGCCACCATTAATGAGTCAATATTGATATATTGTCATTAACTAAAAGCCTATAGTATATCCAGATTTCCTTAGTTTTTATCTCATTTCTTTTTCTGTTCCAGGATCTCATACATGATAACATATTAAGTTTGGTTCTCATGTCTTTTTAGGCTCCTCTTGGCTGTTAACAGTTTCTCAGACCTTCCTTGTTTTTGATGACCTTGATAGTTTTGAGGAGTACTTGTCAGGTATTTTGTAGGATGCCCCTTTATTGGAGTTTGTTTAATGTGTTTATCATGATTATATTAGTTTTGTGGGCTTGAGGGAGGAAAACCACAGATATAAAATGCCATTTTTATCACATGCTATCAGGGGTACGTAATATCAGTGTAATTAATTACTGTTGATATTAACATCTCTAGGTCCCAAGGGATTGTGTGTGTGAGACATAGGGTGACCATTGTCTCAGGGGTGGCCTAGACTTTATGAGGATAAAATTTCTTCTCTTACCCATGGCTCAGCCCCATTTTAACTTTTTAAAAATTCCTTGTTTCTGAAAGCTTGAATAATCCCCAGAAGTTACCTCCTCCCCTGAATTTTTCTTCAACTCATTAGGTTCCATCTTGTCTAGTGTTCCTATCCACCACTATCAGCTCCTCTTAAAAAATAAGATGCTTCACCCTGGCCAGTGTGGCTCAGTTGGTTGGGTGTTATCCTGTGCTTGGAAAGGTTACTGGTTCAACTCCCAGTCAGGGTACATGCCAAGTTTCAGGCTCAAACCCTGGTAGGAAGTGTGCAGGAGACAGCCAGCTGATCGATGTTCTGCTCTCATATGGATGTTTCTCTCCCCCCCCCCCCTTCCTTTCTCTCTAAAAATCTATTAAAAAAAAATATATATATATATATATATATAGAGAGAGAGAGAGAGAGAGAGAGACGAAGGAAGGGTGGAGGAGGGGAGAGAGAGAAACATATATGTGAGAGATACACATGAATTGGTTGCCTCCTGCACGAACCCCAACCTGGCTGGGGATCAAACCTTCAACCCAGGTACATGTCCTTGATTGGGAATTGAACCTGTGACCCTCTGGTGGGCAGGCTGACGCTCTAACCACTGAGCCATGCTAGTCAGGGCAATCAATAAAAATATTTTAAAAGACATAAGATGTTTCAATTTCTAATATTTATTGAACACCTGTTATGTACACTCTGCTAGGCCCACACTGTGTGAAATCATTTAATGGGAAGCAGCTTGCTGCATGAAAAGAGCGCAGGCTTTGTAGTATTGAGACTGACTGGAACCATAGTCCAGCCCAACTATGCACTCTTGGGTAGGTTCCTTTGCTTCTCTTAGCCTTGACTTTTTTTTATTTTTTATTTTTTTTATTTGAGAGAGGGAGGTGGAGAGAGAAAGACAGAGAGAAAGAGAGAGCGAGCGAGCGCGCAGTTTGTTGTTCCACTTTGTTATTCATTTATTTGTTGATTCTTGTATGTGCCCTTGTGCCTTGACCGGTAATGGTACCTGCAACCTTGGCATATCCGGAGGACGCTCTAGCCAACTGAGCTACCCTGCCAGGGCTGCCCTGGTTGCTTCTTAAGTGGAGATAATATTTGTCTCACAAGATGTTGCGAGGAATAAAAAACTTTCTCTTAATCCTCACATTCATTTCTTAAAAAAAAAAAAAAACCAACCCCCCATGACTACATTTTAAATGCTATTTATTCCTATAAAACGCATTTTTTGTGACTTCTGTTTTAAATCATTTAGGACTTTGGAAGATATAGTCATTTTTTAAAAATTGCCCGTCAGGACCCTACTTATAAAGAGCTCTCAATTATAAAGTTTCCCATAACAAAAAGATCGTGATAAAAAGGAAAGAAGGAAAACAGAAGGAACTTGAGTTTCCATGGAAATACCAAGTTTAGTCAAGGAGGCCTCGCCCATTCTGATTTTCTATTGGCTAAACTTACCATCAATCGCACCAGTTGTAAATAAACTGGAGACGGAAGCATGTTGTTAAGGGGTGGAATCTTCCTGTCGCCATTGCTAAGGTGAGGGCTGTATTCTAATAGGCTGAAAGCTGCTGCTCCCGCCCTCTCCCATCAGTTGCTAAGAGGCGGGATTTTAGGGTCCGCGGAGGACTGCGTGCTTGTATCTCCGCCCATCCAATTGGTGGTTATGGGGCGGGATTTGTAGCGGATAGGCTGCTGGCCCTGCCTGTTCGGGATTAGTTGCTGGGAAGAGACACGTGAGGAGGCGGTGGCGGGAGGCGACTATGGCGGGAGGAATGAAAGTGGCCGTCTCTTCTGCAGTCGATGCTGGGCCCTGGGGCGGGGGTACCGGGTGCGGTGGGACAGTGAAGCTGCTCCTGCTTCTCTCTGGCTGCTTGGTCTGCGGTTCAGGTACTACCCGAGCAGCAGCTGCCAAGGGGGCGGGTGCCGTGGGGGTTACATTGAGAAAAGTGGGGAGAGTTCCCGGACGCCGCTAGTTACTCTGCTGAGTGGCGCGGGCGTGCGGGGAAAAACAAGCTTGGTCGTCGGCGAATAGGCGCCGGCACTGAGGGGTCAGGGCCTGGGGCGGCATGGTGGAGCTGCCAGAGTGGGAAGGAGCCTGGGGCCTTTTGGTGGAGACAGGAAGGAAGGCCTGGACCGGCTGAGAAGCGGTCCTAGGGGCTGCGTCGCGCTGCACGGGCATCCTTGAGTTTTCTGGTTAAAAGGAGGGAGACCTAATGATCATTACGGGTAGGCAGAGCTGCCCCTGGAAAGGAAGCATCCCATTCATTCAGCAAATTAGCAACATTTTCTGAGTGTATGCATTGTCAGGACTCGGGGCATGGGCGGCAGTAATCTCTATCTGATGTCTTCTGCTCTTGTAATATCCTGGCCTTACCTGCCCTATAGAAAGGCCCTGGAGCCGTTAAATTCCCATTTCAAAAAAAAGACACAAATGCCATTCAGCATGAATAAGTTTCTTTTGGAAATTTAATTCCTCAGGCAAATTTATTTGATACTTACTACTGGATAATTGGCTTTGAAATGGGTTGAAACTTTTCCTTTTCTGCCCTAATCCAGAAAACCTAGAGTGTTTTTAAGAACCTCCATCTATCCCCCTTATCGTTAAATGCACGAGAGAAATACAAGTGAGGTTTCCAAACTTCCACTGAAAGGAGCTGAAACTCACAGGGTTAAAGTTAACTGTGTCTTGTAAACATCATTGTGTTTGTTTGCTGCCTATCTCATGTTGCCATTTACGATCATCTTTAGCTGCCACTTTCAGGTTGTCTCAGGATCCATAGATCTGCGTAGTTCCAAAGAAGCGCAGCGCCCTTCTGAAACTTTGTTTTTAAGGGAGAGGGGATAGGTATGGAGGAAGGTACTTTTCTAGAGGCAGGGCCTAGAGTAACATTTATTTGAAGGGCTATTTATGATCTGAATGAACTTGGGCCAAATGGTTAATCTCTAAAATGGGGTTGTGGGCTGTGGGGATGAAAGATAATATATACAAAAATGTTACACAGCTTAATCAGCAGTTTAAGTTTCTTTAGTGAGGAGAGGGACAGGGATACGCTTAGAGAAGGGTAAACTCAGGATTATATTTCTTGTGTGTGGCCTGATAGATCATGTAGGTGGCACATGTAATAGGACCTTTCTAAAAGTCAGAGGTACCTAAAGACAATGAAGTAGTACCTCAAAAGACAGGGAGTTCTTTCTCACTGGAAGTTTTTGAAAAATTTGATTACAAAAATAATGTGAGTACTTTACACTACTTGGCAAGTACAACTAAGTATAAAGAAGTAGAAAAAACCCTCACTGTTTATTCCATTCAGAGGCAATCCATTTTAGCACCCTTTCTTCTGGTATTTTTCCACATTTTTAATCAAATTTTTAAAAAAAAATTTATAATACATTTATATTCCTGTCAGCAATCCAGTTCTCTTCCCTAGAGGCCACCAGTTATTACCAAAGATAGTTTTCTCATTTGGTTTTGTAGCATAAGCATTTTCCTGTGACATTTAAAATTCTTCATAAATGTTATTTTTACTATTATGGACAGATCATTTATTTAATGTTTCTGAATTAAACATTTGGTTGTTTCTTCTGTTGGTTGAATATGTGGTGCTAGCTTTTAATTGTAGATAGCACTTTGTGTATATCTTTGTATGTAACTTTTATTGCATTTGGATTTTTTTTAGGATAGATTCTCAGAAATGGATTTACTAGATCAATAGCTAAAATATATTTAAGACCCTTGAAACATCTTGCTAAAATGCTTTACCGAAAAGGTGTGCCAGTTTGCACTACTATCAGCAATATTTGCTTGTGACCCTTGACAGCATTGGATATTCTGGACTGTTAACACCATTGCTAATTTGATAGATTGAAAGTGGTATCTTAGTGTACTTTTGCATTTCTTGCATTATTTGTGAGGGAGCATCTTTCAACTTTTTATTAGGTATTTAATTTTCTGTTTCAACTTTTGAGTCTTTTGGAGTGTGTTTCTGTTCTTTGTTCTTGGCCTATTGTGATTTCTATTTATTGGGATTTTTGTGGACTTTTAAAATCTATTTGTTTAAACTTTTTTATATATTAAGGATATATATATTTATAACCTGTTTATTTATGGCCCCCCTCTTTTTTCTTTTTCTTTTTCTTTTTTTTTTAAATCCTCATCCAAGGACGTGCTTAGAGGAAGGAGGGGGGGAAAGAGAGAGAGAGAGAGGAACATCGATTGGTTGCCTTCTGCATCGATTGGTGTCCCAACTGGGGATTGAACCCACAACCCAGACATGTGCTCTGACCAGGAATCGAATGGTGACCTCTTGGTGGTTCATAGGTCAATGCCCAACCACTGAGCTACACCACCTGGGCTACCTCCCCTTTTTAAATAGAAGACTTATGTTTTTATGTGGTCACTTGATTTTATTATTTAGATTTATTTACATTTATGCTTAAAGAGCCCTCCAAAATTGAATTGATACTATTTTGTGTGTGTGGTACAATTGACTTTTTAAAAATTTTACTTATTAATCTATAATTAATGTTAGCATTTGGTGTGAGGTGAGAATCTACATAGATTTTATTTTCCAGATAACCAGTCCGTTGTCCCAGCATCACATTGAATAATCTTTGCTAAGCCCATTAACTTAAGGTGCTAGTTTTTAAGGAGGCTTTTAAGTATGAACTGGATTACCTCCTTACAGAAATGAAAAGAGGCTATTTAAGAATTAGAAGAGCCCAGCTGGACATGGCTCAGTGGTTGAGCATCGACCTAGGAGCCAGGAGATCGCGGTTCAATTCGGGTTGTGGGCTCGATCCCCGGTGGGGGATGTGCAGGAGGCAGCTGATCAGTGACTCTCATCATTGATGTTTCTATCTTTCTCTCTCCCTCTCCCTTCCTTTCTCTGAAATCAATAAAGATATATTAAAAAAAAAAAGAATTAGAAGAGATTTTTCATAACTTTTTAGGGTCTATTTTGGCCCTCACATACTATGAATCATTTTTATTACTTTCTACCTATAGATGTTAATTGATCAGTGTTGTTGATTGAAAAGTAAGTTCTTAATGATCAGAATTAATGAAGTTATTAACCTTTGAATAGCTGCTTTATGGGTAAATAAAATATGTTTTGATTCACTAAATTTCAAGAAGGCATTTTTCTGAGAAGTAGATCTTTGGGCTTAGAAAGCATTTTCTTGAATATTTAATTCATTCTGCTTTTTAACATGCTGGCTAAGTCATTTTAGGGAGGGAAAGAAAGGTTTAGTGTATGTCCTTTTGTTATGAGAAGTACAAGGTTCTAACATGAACATTTTGACAACATGTATAGGTTTAAGGTCATTTGTTTTAGTTCTGTGTTTCCAACAATTTAAGTGGTAGCTGGAGTGGTGATTGTTTCCACAGATTATCCTTTTAGGCTGAATTGGTATATTTTACCTCTCAATGAATTTCCAAAAATGTGGCTGGCCAAGGTGCATATTTGCACAGTTGTGATTAGAGAGGTTTTTTGGCAGTTAGTTTGTTTTTTAATCCTCACCTGAGGATATTTTTCCATTGCTTTTCAGAGAAAATGGAATGGGGGGGAGGGAAAGAGAGAGAGAGATTGATTGGTTTGGTTGCCTCCCACATGCCCAGGATTGAGCCTGCAACCGAGGTATGTGCCATTGGCCGGAATCGAACCGGGGACCTTTCAGTCCTCAAGTGGATGCTCTAACCACTGAGCAAAATTGGCTGGGTGAATTAGAGAGGTTTGTTTGTTTATTTACAGTTCTTTCCCTTAAATGGTGTGGAACTTCGGAAAAGAAGAACTAGATTTTAAAACGTTGCTTTTAATAAAACTTTTATTTAGGAAAATGACATTGGAAAATTTTAGAGTTAGTTTAAAAACACAGTTGCCTTTTCTTGGCATTAAGTGTTTCAAATGACCTGTGTTATTGACATGGTATTTGTATCTTAACTACCCTCTTGAAAATAATAATGGGCTTAAAAAGGTGTAGTATTATATTACCCGGTGCTGTTGGAAAAAGGGGGTTAATAAGTGTGAATCTTGTTTTTGTTTTTAAATATGTCTATTGATTTCAGAGAGAGGAAGGGAGAGGGAGAGAGACAGAAACATCAATGATGAGTCATTGATCAGCTGCCTCCTGCACGCCCCCTACTGGGGATCAGTCCTGCAACCCTGGCATGTGCCCTGACACCCAGGCATGTGCCCTGACCCAGAATCGAACCGTGTTCTCCTGGATCATAGGTCGATGCTCAACCGCTGAGCCATGTTTTTAAAAAAAATTTGTAAGTCCAGTAGTTTTAAGCTTCATATAACCTCACTGTTTTACAATCTCCAGAAGAAAATAAACTCTTTAAAAAAAAAAATCTCTATTGATCTCAGAGAGAGAAAGGGAGAGGGAAAGATAGAAACATCAATGATGAGAGAGTCACTGATTGGCTGCCTGTCACTGTCTCATATACCAAAAGGTTACGGGTATGATTCCTGGTCAGGGCACATACATAGGTTGTGGGTTCGATCCCTGTTCCCAGTGCTTGTGGGAGGCAACCCATGTTTCTCTCCTGTCCTTCCTCTCTCTAAAATCAATAAAAACGTATCCTCAGGTGAGGATTAAAAAAGAAATCCTCATGTGAGAGGTGCCCTCTCTTTACCTGGAGGAAAGGAGCATCCTTATCTACGAAGACAAATGAACAACCAAGAAGAATCCTAACAAACAGGCCTTGCTGTCTCTCCTCATACTCCTTAACCTGTCATGTTCCTCTAGGATTTTCCACTCTTCATTAAACCCAGCATAAAAAGTGCATCGTTTTTAAGGTTTCTTTAATCCTCATTTCCTTATGAAGCCTTTTGTGTCACGTAAACATTAATTTGTATTCCTTTTTTTTTTTTATCTGTTTCATTTTCAGGCCCAGCCAAGGCCCTTAAGAGAGTTAAGGAAGACTTTTTCCTTCCTTACAATATAAAGGCTGATTTTTTTTTAAGTTGAGATATAATTTGCATACCATAAAATCCACACTTCTAGTGGTTTTTAGTATATTCACAAGGTTGTGCAGCCATCACCACTAATTCCAGAATATTTTCATCCATCCCAAACGAGACCCCATATATCTTAGCATTCACTTCCTATTCTCTCTTCCTAGCCCCTCGCAAACACTAATCTACTTCCTGTTTCTGTGGATTTGCCTATTCGGGACATTTTGTATAAATGGAATAATTCAATATGTGACCTTTTTTTTGGTCTGAATTCTTTCATTCATTATGTTTCCAAGGTTAATCCATATTGTAGCATGTATCCGTACTTCTTTTTATGGCTAAATAATATTCCATTGTATGACTATACCACAGTTTGTTTATCCATTCATCAGTTGATGGACATTTGGGTTGTTTCCACTTTTTTGTTATTAGGGATATTGCTGCTATGAATATTAGTGTATAACTTTCTGTGTGAACATTATGTTTTCATTTCTCTTGGGTATATACATAGAAGTAGAATTGCTGGGTCATATAATAACTTGATGTTTAACTTTTTGAGGAACTGCCAAACTGTTTTTCAAAGAGGCTGCACCATTTTACATCCCTGCTAGCAATGTCTGAGGGTTCCAGTTTCTCCACATCCTCACTAACACTTCTTATTGTCCTCATTTTGAGTATAGCCATCCTAGTGAGTGTGAAGTGGTATTTCATTGTGGTTTGATTTGCACTTCCCTAATGACTAGTGATGTTGAACCTCTTTTCATGTGCTTATTGGCCACTTGTGTATCTTCTTTTTTTCTTCCTCAATTTTATTTTCTTTGGTTTCAGTTGTACCGTTTAGTGGTTAGACAATCATATTTACATAGTGTTCTCCTCATTATTTCCAGTACCCCAACTGGTGCCATACGTAGTTATCACAATATTATTGGCTATATTTCCTATGATCTACTTACATCCCGGTAACTTTTTTGTAATTACCAATTTGTACTTCTTAATGCCTTCACCTCTATCACCCAACCACCAACCCTCCTCCCCTCTGGCAATCACCAGTTTGCTCTCTATGAGTCTGTTTCAATTTTGTTTATTTTGTTCTTTATATTCCACATATAATTGAAATCATATGGTATTTGTCTTTCTCTGACTGATTTATTTCACTGAGCATAATACCCTCTAGGTCTGTCCATGCTGTTGCAAATAGTAAAATTTCATTCTTTTTTATGGCTGAGTGACATTTAATTGTATATATGTACCACGCTTTTTTTATCTACTCGTCTATTGATGAGCACTTGGATTGCTTCCGTGTCTTGGGTATTATAAATAATGCTACAATGGACATGGGAGTGCATATATTCTTTCGAATTAGTGTTTTGGTTGTTGTTGTTTTGTTATAAATCCCCAGAAGTGGAATTGCGTCATAAAGCAGATCCATTTTTAATTTTTTGAGGAAACTCTATACTGTTTTCCACAGTGTGTGCACCAGTCTGCATTCCCACTAACAGTGCATGAGGGTTCTCTTTTCTCCACATCCTCACCATTGTCTGTCTTCTTTGGAGAAATGTCTATTTAAGTCCTTTGAGCATTAAAAATTTAGGTTATTTCTCTTTTTTTTATTGTTGAGTTTAGTAGTTTGTTATGTATTCTAGATACTATACCTTTATTGGATAGATGATTTGTAAGTATTTTCTCCCATTTTGTGGGTTGTCATTTCAAAACAACACAAGTTTTAAATTTTTATGAAGTCTAATTTATCTTTTTTTTTTTGCTATGCTTTAGTATCATATGTAAACCATTGCCTAATCCAAGGTCGTGAAGATTTACACCTGTGTTTTCTTCTAAGCGTTTTATAGTTTTTGCTCTTACACTTAGGTTTAAGACTGAATTTAACTTCAAAATTAGCCTTAGCTTTACCCTAAAACAATTGTGGATTGGTGGGCATTATTGCCTTTTTTGTGTGTAACTTTGACTTTCTAAGGTTTGGTTGAGGTTTTTGTATTTTTATGGGTTTTGTGTTTGTTTTTAGTTTATTTGAATCTACCTATCTGCCCTAGCTGGTTTGGCTTAGTGGCTAGAGCGTCTTACCCACAGACTGAAGGGTCCCAGGTTCGATTCCAGCCGAGGGCACGTACCTAGGTTGCAGGCTCGATCCGCGGCCCCAGTTGGGGCACGTGCAGAAGGCAACTAATCAATGTGTCTCTCTCACTAAGATATTTCCTCTCTCTTTCTCTCTCTCTCTCTCTCTCTCTCCCCTCTTCCCTCTTCTACTCTCTCTGAAAAACAATGGAAAAAATGTCCTCAGATGAGGATTAAAAATAAATAAACAAAAGTAAATCTACCCATCTTTATACTAAGACCAGAGAGATAACTAAATTTTGCACTAAGTACAGTGTAGAACTCAAGGAGGAACTCAAGGAGGAAGCTATTTTTATTATTTTTTAAAAATTTTTGTTAATCCTCACCCTAGGATATTTTTTCCATTGATTTTTAGAGAGCGTGGAAGGGAGGGAGAGAGGGGAAGAGAGAGAGAGAGAAACATAAATGTGAGTGAGACACATTGATAGGTTGTCTCCCGAAGGTGCCCCAACCAGGCTGGGGATTGAACCTGCAACCCAGGTACATGCCCTTAACTAGGAACCAAACCCATGACCCTTCATTGTGCTGGCTGACACTCTTACCACAGCCACACTGGCCAGGGCAAGAGTGGTCACTTTTAAACCTTAAATTAGCTGAGACTGAATACAGAACTTCTGAGGGAGAGAATGTTCTATTTTGGTAAAGGGAGTGCATATATTCATTGGCTGTTAAAACTTCAAATGAAACAACAGAAAAAAAGCAACTTTGCAATCTTTTAGTATCTGTTTAAAGTACTATACATATATATAAAACATCGCCAATTCTATTTATCCTACACAGGAAAGGGGTAGAAAAAAATCACCAGATGGGGTTACTTTAGCTGTACCTTTTTAAGGGAAACAGGACCTGGGTGTGAATTTCAGTTACACTATTTAATAGTTGCAAATTCATTCTTTTTAAATATGTTTCATCATTTGTGAAATAGGGACTATGAGATAGGAGACTTTCTGTCTTAATAAATACTTAATAGTGGTTTTTGTTAATACTTATTCTGGGTTAATAACTATTTGTAATAATTGAATAATTAAATTTCACAGAAATAAGACTGCCTTATTTCTTCTCTCATTTCAGGTATCTTCTTGTTTCTCAGTTACTGACATTTTAACCCCAACTTTATAAGAAAGTGGCCAGTTTAAATCTTTTTATGAAATAAGTTCTGGTTATTAACTTGTTATATTTAATTCTTATTTCTTTTCTTTGCATAAAGCTGAAATTGGCGTACAAGTGGTCATGCTTCAGGAATCTCGAGTTTATAATATGATTGCCAGACAACAATTCTGTTATGAAAATGTGCTTATCCCAAAGTGGCATGATATATGGACACGGATACAGGTAATAATTTAAAGGCCCCTGGCAGGGGCAACTTCTGTGAGCATCTGTCTGTCTGTCTGTATTAGTGAGTACTTTGACATTCTTTTTCTCTCACACACAGCTTTTAAAAAAGTATTATTAACAACCTTGGTAAGGGTTGAGAGTATCCTGAATTGTGTTTTCATCAATAAGTATTTATGCCTACTTTGTGTTCCTCTATCTGCTCATTTAAGTAGCTTACAATGCTTGACCCTGAGGCAAACTAACTTCCTCCTTTTCCCAAAGAAATTCCTTCCTTCTCTTGCCCTCTCTCCTTTCACACACACACACACACACACACACACACACACACTCTCTCTCTCTCTCTCTCTCTCTCTCTCTCTCTCTCTCTCTCTCTCTCTCTC